CTGCAGCGCCCCACAATGCACTGCACCCTGACAGTGCATTGTGATTGGCCAAAGCAATGCACCTGACCACAGGTTTTTGTTTTTTTTTTAATTTTTACGGGAATGACGTTTTGTACTTTCGGGTAGGGGGCGCGTGCTCGCGCCATTGGTGACTACAGCTGTCAATCACCAGGTCCCGGCCGGAGATTCCCCACCGCACCTGGTGATTGCTGAGTATCACAGGTCTGTGTGTAAACAATACTGATCTCTCCCCTGTCAGCTCCAGCAAGCTGCTTTGTATTGCTCTGCATAGCACTTGCTTAGCACGGGATCTATCTGCTGATCTCCCCTGAGTAGATGGAGTGACAGGTCTGTGTCTACTCAACTTATGCAGAACAGACACAGACACAGGCTGCTGTCCTCTATGGGAGGCTGGATGTAAACGGAGCACCTGTCCATTTACACCCAACTGCCATGTGATCCGATCCACTGGACAGCAGGGGAATGAATCCCCATCCACCTGTTTTTGGCGGATCAGATTAGATGTAGGCAGGTTGAAATGGACACGTGTCCGTTTTACACCCACCTCTCCATAGATCAGAATGGCGGTTCAGATCAGGTCCGCCTGTCAATGTGAAAGGGCCTTAACATACTTCTTGTCCTGCTGACCGTCCTCACTTACTATAATGTATATTTGGAGAAGCAGCCTTGTCACCCTAGGACAGGACTACAGAACAAATCCATTAGTCCATAGAGATATCTGAGAACTACACTACAGGTGAAACTCAAAAAATTGAATATCGTGCAAAAGTTCATTTATTTCAGCAATGCAACTTAAAAGGTGAAACTAATATATAAGATGGACTCATTACATGCAAAGCAAGATAGTTCAAGCCGTGATTTGTCATAATTGTGATGACTTTGACTTACAGCTCATGAAAACCCCAAATCCACAATCTCAGAAAATTAGAATATTGTGAAAAGGTGCAATATTTTAGGCTCAAAGTGTCCCACTCTAATCAGCTAATTAAGCCATAACACCTGCAAAGGGTTCCTGAGTATTTAAATGGTCTCTCAGTCTGGTTCAGTAGGAATCACAATCATGGGAAAGACTGCTGACCTGACAGTTGTGCAGAAAACCATCATTGACACCCTCCATAAGGAGGGAAAGCCTCAAAAGGTAATTGCAAAAGAAGTTGAATGTTCCCAAAGTGCTGTATCAAAGCATATTAATAGAAAGTTATGTGGAAGGGAAAAGTGTGGAAGAAAAAAGTGCACAAGCAGCAGGAATGACCGCAGCCTGGAGAGGATTGTCAGGAAAAGGCCATTCAAAAGTGTTGGGGACTTTCACAAGGAGTGGACTGAGACTGGAGTCAGTGCATCAAGAGCCACCACACACAGACGGATCCTGGACATGGGCTTCAAATGTTGTATTCCTCTTGTCCAGCCGCTTCTGAACAACAAACTTCAGAAGCGTCTTACCTGGGCTAAAGAAAAACAGACTTGGTCTGTTGCTCAGTGGTCCAAAGTCCTCTTTTCTGATGAGAACAACTTTTGCATCTCATTTGGAAACCAAGGACCCTGAGTATGGAGGAAGAATGGAGAGGCACACACTGCAAGATGCTTGAAGTCCAGTGTGAAGTTTCCACAGTCTGTGTTGATTTGGGGAGCCATGTCATCTGCTGGTGTTGGTCCACTGTGCTTCATTAAGTCCAGGGTCAACGCAGCCGTCTACCAGGAGATTTTTGAGCACTTCATACTTCCTTCCGCAGACGAGCTTTATGGGGATGCTGACTTCATTTTCCAGCAGGACTTGACACCTGCCCACACTGCCAAAAGCACCAAAACCTGGTTCAATCACCATGGGATTACTGTGCTCGATTGGCCAGCAAACTCACTTGACCTGAACCCCATAGAGAATCTATGGGGCATTGCCAAGAGAAAGATGAGAGACATGAGACTGAACAATGCAGAAGAGCTGAAGGCCGCTATTGAAGCATCCTGGTCTTCCACAACACCTCAGCAGTACCACAGGCTGATAGCTTCCATGCCACGCCTCATTGAGGCAGTAATTGCTGCAAAAGGGGCCAAAACCAAGTACTGAATACATATGCATGCTTATACTTTTCACAGGTCCGATATTGTTCTATGTACAATCCTTGTTTTATTGATTGCATGTAATATTCTAATTTTCTGAGATTGTGTATTTGGGGTTTTCATGAGCTGTAAGCCATAATCATCACAATTATGACAAATCACGGCTTGAACTATCTTGCTTTGCATGTAATGAGTCTATCTCATATATTAGTTTCACCTTTTAAGTTGCATTACTGAAACAAATAAACTTTTGCACGATATTCTAATTTTTTGAGTTTCACCCGTATTTACAGAATTTGTGGTTTTCCTCACATATTTACAGGATTTGAAGTATTTACCTCACATATTTACAACATTTGTGGTTTCCCTCACATATTTACAGGATTTGCAGTATTTACCTCAAATATTTGCAAAATTTGTGGCTTTCCTCACATATTTACAGGATTTGCAGTATTTACCTCAAATATTTGCAGGATTTGTTGTTTTCCTCACATGTTTACAGAATTTGTGATATTTATCTCATATTTACCTACTTTGCAGTGTTTACCTCACATATTTATAGAATTTGAGCTATTTATCTCACATATTTACCAAATTTGCTGTCTTTACTTCACAGATTGACCAAATTTGCAGTATTTACCCCAAATATTTGCTAGGTTTGCATTATGTACATCACATATTTATAGAATTTGCAGTATTTACCTCAAATCTGATACATTACCTTTTTCTGGATTTTGATGAATTGACTGTTTTATTATTGCATGTGATGTTTAAAAAAACACAAATATCACATGTGAGGATCATTAGTGATTTAACCCCTTTGTCACTAGAGGCATATGTGTAAACATTGGCTCTTTTGCTGGAGGAAAACACCACAGAGAGAAAAAAGAAAAGTTTATTGTCTGACCTGATATCTTTACATACATATTGCATCTATTTATAAAATGATTATGAGTGTGTGCCTGTGTGTATTTATACATATATACAATAACTGACATACTCACTTTTTTCTTTTGTAGCATGTTTGCTCAAAATGGATCAGGTAAAGGAGAAATAAATAAATCATGCTTACATGTTCTGTGGCGAGATTGTCATTATCTGTCCTTATCCTCCTGTATGTATGAGCCTCTATCCATGTCCTATTTTAACATGTAATTTTAAGATAAAATGTGCCCTAAGGGGAAGCAGGGTCAAGTCCCTTGAAGACCATTTGAATAGACATGGCCACTTTGTCCCTAGGTGACTGTGAGGGGCTTGAAGGTTGTAAGGTGTTCCAGTGATATGGAGCCAGATTTTATGTCTTTTACTAGCACAGTAAAAACAACAACCGCCGACTGTCAGCAATCATTTAAATCAGTATATGTGCAATTACACAAACAAATTAGTGTGCTAAATGTTCTTTATGTAATCAACAGTTATAATAATTAACCACTTGGCCTCGTGAGGATTTACCCCCTTCCTGACCAGGCCATTTTTGCGTTACAGCGCTGCATTACTTTAACTGACAATTGTGCAGTCATGCAATGCTTCACCCAAATGAGATTTACGTTCTTTTTTTCCCACGAATTGAGCTTTCTTTTGGTGGTATTTGATTGCCTGTGAGGGGTTTTTTTTTGCGCTATTCAAAAAAAAAAAAGACCGATAATTTTGATTAAAAAAAAAACAATATTTTTGACTTTTTGCTATTAAACATGTCCAGTAAAAAATGTAAAAATCAATCATTCTGCTACATATCTTTGCTGAAAAAAATCCCAATACATGTAATATAATTGGTTTACATGAAAGTTATTCCATTTAAAAATGGCGGTATATATACTGGGATTTATTTTTTATTTTTACAACTAATGGTGGCGATCAGCGACTTATAGAGGGACTGCGGCAGGCATTCTGACACTGGGGGGAACTGATTTGGTGTCACTGACATTCCCAGTGACACCAATACAGTGATCAGTGCTAAAAAAAAATGCACTGACACTCTACTAATGGCACTGGACAGGAAAGGGTTAACATCTGGGGCGATCAAAGGGTTAACTGTGTGCTGTGTGCTGTTTTTACTATGGGGCTGTGTCTGTGTGCTTCACTTTAGGCACACTGCTTTGCATGGCTGTGCTGTGCAAAGCAGTGTACATGAGCTGACAGGGAGGAGAAACTGTTTTGTTTACTAACAGTACTTCCCCCCTCCGGAGATCCTCGGCAATCACCGGCCGGGACCCAGTGACTGACAGCCGTGGCCGCAAAAAGGCGACGTGGATAGAGCAGGTGTGCACCTCACGCACGCCCCTTACCCGGAAATGCAAAATCACGTATATGTACGTGATTTGTCACACCCGTGCTGCCCTGTAGCAGTATATCTGCTATAGAGTGGACAGGAATCGGTTAAAGCAGTATTAAAGTGTTACTAAACCCAGGACCCTACATTCACTTTCCTTATTAGAGCCCTGCAGGTGCAGCAGCTGACTGATAAATCACTGCACGCATGGACACAGACAAACAAACAGTTATTTCTTCAAAATAACAAAAGGTAAGTATTTGCAGCAAAGTTCGTTAAACACCCTGCACTCTACAAATATCACCCAGAGGAGAATTTTTTAGAGTGAAGTTACATTTTAGAATTACACTAAATTCTGCTTTTAAGAAAACTGTTTAAGTATAGTGTGCATTCTTAAAGTGTTGCCAAACCCAAGACCCTGTATTCATGATATCTGGTCTCCCACAGTACACAGAACATGGAAATGCAATTATTTTAGTAACTATAAACTGCTAAATACCTTTTCTCAACAGCAGTTGGAGCAGTCTTGTGACTTCTATCAGTGTTCAGCAGAGAACTGGTTAAAGCTTGTAGGAGGAGTTTTCTTTCTGCTTCAGAAGGATGCAGAACCCCTGACATCTGCCTGGACAGTGCTGATTGGCCCTGTGCTAATCACATGCACTCTCCCAAGAAAAAAAAATATCAATAGACACCAAACTGAGCATGTGCAGAGTGACTCCACACAACATGTCTTATCAGGAGATAAGAGGGGGGCACAGGAAGAAGGGGAGGATCAGAGAAGTCAGGATCAAATGGCATTTTTACATAATTCAGAGGATTAACCCCTTAGGTTAAACAGTGAGTATATCAAGCATGCTTTACTGCATATACAGACTGATTTTACTGTTGTGGGTTTAGTAACACTCTAGCTCAAAAAGCATCTTTCTTTTGCTCTCAGCTTCTCCAAATTCTTTTTCTTCTGCTGTAATCTGACTTGTTGTTATAGAGTGGCTACGTTCATTCCTCATGGTGCCACTGTATGTCGTAAGGTAGCCAGCCTCTCTTTATCGCTTAGGAGATGGACTAGGAAGTAAGGACTATTGTATATGTAGTGTGCACAGAGCTGTGCATATGACTGTAACCAGGGGCGGACTGAGAACTCATGGGGCCCCCAGGCAATAGGGGATCATGGGGCCCCTGTGTCCTTGCCCACACTCAAACCACACCCAAAAAAGCCTATGAAAGGTACTAGGGGCATCTCATGGAGCCCCCTACTGACCCTGGGCCCTCAGGCAGTGCCCGAATGGTCAGTCCACCCCTGACTGTAGCTAACGTGCACTGCTCATTCCAAACAAACAGAACAGAAGTGAGTGGGAAAAAGAGAAGTTCAGGAGCTCATTCAAGGAGGCTGTCAGGAATGGACTTGCCAATAGTGGTGGGACTCACCTGCCTTGTGGGCTGCGGTACCAGCCTGGGGGCCCGGTGCCTGCCGCTCCGCCTGGGGGCTAGGGGCCTGCCGCTCCGCCTGGGGGCCCGGTGCCCTGCCGCTCCACCTGGTTGCCTGGTGCCTGCCGCTCCGCCTGGTTGCCCGGTGCCTGCCGCTCCGCCTGGGGGCCCGGTGCCCACTGCCGCCTCCGCCTGGTGGCCCGGTGGCCCGGTGCCGCCGCCCTGCCTGGTGGCCCGGTGCCTGCTGCCCTGCCTGGTGGCCCGGTGCCCGCTGCTCCGCCTGGTGGCCCGGTGCCCGCTGCTCCGCCTGGTGATCCGGTGTCCAGCCCAAAGTGCCTCTGTCCGGTGTCCAGCCCGATGTGCCTCCGTCCGGTGTCCAGCCGATGTGCCTCCGTCCAGTGTCCAGCCCGATGTGCCTCTGTCCGGTGTCCAGCCCGATGTGCCTCTGTCCGGTGTCCAGCCCGATGTGCCACATTCCGGTGTCCAGCCCGATGTGCCTCCGTCCGGTGCCCAGCCCGAAGTGCCTCCGTCCGGTACCCAGCCCGAAGTGCCTCCGTCCGGTGCCCAGCCCAATGTGCCAGTCTTTGATATCCCGCCAGTCACCGGACCCGGGCGGTGGAACATTTTGCCCAGCTAGGACTGTTTGGAGCGTCCTGAGGCCACTCCTTGAGGGGGGGTACTGTCAGGAATGGACTTGCCAATAGTGGTGGGACTCACCTGCCTTGTGGGCTGCAGTACCAGGGCTGGCCAGCGGGTACTCTCAACAACCAGAGGTTCACTTCGGCAATTAGCCATCACCTGGGGCTGATTGCAGGTGGTGTATTTAAGGGATGGCCAGACCTGCAGTCTGTGCCTTGGTGTGTGTTTTTCCATGGGCCCCTGTACCTTGTAACCTGCATTCCTGTTTCTGCCTGACTTGTTGTCGACCCTGCCTGATCCTGACCTCTGCTGACTTCTCCTGTTTGATCCCTGGCTTGTGACCCTGACCATTCTCTCCGCCTGCTCCTCCTGTACCTACCTGCCCGATAGTTATCGACCCGGCCTGCCTGACTACGTTGTGCTCTATATGTGTATGTACCTGTGTATCTATATCAGTTTAGGTTTGGGTTTCTTTCACCTTGTTGTATGTATTTGTGTTAGCTTGGGGTGTGGTGCACTGCGTTTATATTTGTATTGTTAGTCTTAATAAATTGTCTTATTTATACCATATCTGAAGCCTGCATTTCCCTGTCAGTCCACACACTTCTGGTCACACCCGCATCCCTGACAGAGGCAGAGAAACACACTGTAGTGATATCCTCTGAAGGGGCCCCTGGAAATAAACTGGGTCTCCCATACCTGCAGGGCGGTCTTAATCAATGGTAACACCTGGGCTCTGCCCAGGGGCCCTAGGTGCATGGGGGGTCCATGGTCAGGGCCAGGACAAGGGGGGGGCTGTGTTGGGGGGTGCACTAGGGATTTGACTACTCCTCTTTGACAGGAGCAACTGCAATATCACTCATGTACAAAAAAAAATGGCAACTGCGCCAATCTATAATTGGCCTTTGCAGTAAGGAGCACATGGAAGGGCGATGCATGTTAAACAACAACAAAGATAAATTCCCAGCTCAACTTACCAACCAGCCTGCAACCAACCAAATTATCTTGTCTAACCATTCACTTTAAAAAAAAAAGGGGGGTTAGTTTGCACACATTTGCAAATACATGCGCAAGCAGCAGAGCCTCTTCACTACATCCCAGTATTTTCTGCAGTCCAAACTCTATAAATGTTGAGAGCCTGCATAGTAGAACCACATTCATAATAATGGATAGAATGAGGGTAGGTGAGCCTGGAGGAAACCCTTAAAGGCATAGGGGAGCATATAGTACAATGCCAATGGGGCAACTGCCCCAATCTTTAACAAGCCTCAGTAGTAAGGAGTACATGGAAGGGCAACACAAGTCAAACAACAACAAAGAAAAATTAGAAATATATCTGTTACTGGTCAGCCATGATGAAATACATCTGATGTGGATGATTTGGCAATAGCGAGCTGACATGCTGGCACTCTGCAATTGATGAAGAAGACCATCTATATCAGGTAAAAATATTTCGCTGAACCTTATATGTTCAGTTACTTTCAGCTTGCCATGACCTACTATAGTTTGCCACTACCTATTTAAATCCTCCACTTGTTCAGATGGATCACTAGGGGGTCCTTTTGCTCACATGACACCAGAGGACTACCAGTAAAGCCTTTGTTTATAACATATGGTTACAAGTTTGTGCTGTATTTTGTTGCTCCCCTGAAGATTTAAAGTATGAACTACATTGAAACGGATCGGAGCTACACTGCTTTCTTAAATATAGCCTAGGCTTTTCCATCTGTCAATTCTACATACTGATGCCATATTGTCATACTATGTAGAAAATAACCTATTTCTGGTTTTTAAAGATTGAATTCAATAAAATGTTATTTTATTATAATTGTTGTTCAATTGTGGAGCTTGGAAAGTCCCCGGTTTTCAAAAAATGTATGCTTTTCAATGTTTTAAAAAAGAAAAATTCCCAGCTCAACTTACCAACCAGCCTGCAACCTGCTGAATTATCCTGTCTAACCAATAAAAACAGGGGGTTTAGTTTGCCCACATTTGCAATTACAAGCATAAGCTGCAGAGCCTCTTTATGGCACCCTAATATCTGCAGTTCCTAACTCTATAAGTGAGAGCCTCTGATGTAGAAGCACATGCATAATAACGGACATACTGAGGGCAGGTGAGCTTGGAGGAAGCCCATTCCTCCTTAAAGGCACAGGGACACACTGGACACCCAGAATATAGCACAATGGCAGCTAAGGTGTCCAGAGCGCCCCTCACCAGTATATCAACAGTACAAAAACATGTCACTCCTGTCAAAAGAAGCAGTGGCTGACTTCTGCTGGAGAGAGGATTCAGCTTTCTCCTCCCTGCTGGAGGGGGTGGAAGAGAGCTGCACTGAGACTGAGAATTCACCTCAGTCTCGGCAGGGGAGAGGAAGTAGGAGCTGCCTTCATTGCAGGTGGGAAAAGCATTTGTGATTTGTGAGTACAAGGAAAAAGGAGGGGGGCACAATGCTGATGTAAGGGGGCACCATAAATGGGGGCACTATGATGGGAATAATAATAATAAATAATCACTATTAATCCCCAATTTCTTTTAAGCACACTTCACCCCTACCCTTAGAGGTGTACAAATATAAACAATGATATGCTCAGTGATAAATCCTTTCCTCAGATCTATGAATATAATCAAAATAAAGTCCAAAAAAAATAAATCAAAAATATCTCAAAAATATAATATGTCCCTTTTAAAAAATAAATAAATCAATCCAAGTGTCCAAAATTCGATTCAAGTGTACAAATCCTCAGCCTCTTGCAGCAACTTGATTTACCTCAAAAACAAAAACATAAAAACCACATAGTGCATTATCCTTTATAAAGTAAATTAATGCATGAAAACAATCCAGTGATATTTCACCCAAGTGAAAAAGGTGTATAAATAAAAATATAAAATATATATAATCACATGTGCATATACACAATGTATAGTGAAAAACCGTGTATGTGAATCACTCTTTTTGTGCTCAAAAATCACACGACACAGTGTGCACTGCTACTGAAGTAAGGAGTGAATACCCTTACCAATATTCAAAAATAACTTTTGCCTTAATATCAATCACCAAGAAGACTATATGATGAGATGAATCTTCCTGCCAGTATCCTCAGATTTCACTCTGAACTCATAGCACCATATGGATCCATCCACTGTGACACCTGGGGACACCTGATGCAGACTGCTGCCCCCCCCCCCCCCCCCCCCCCCCCCCCATTACTTTGCCCATGGGCACATGATGCTGTTAAGATGACACTGCTTACCTGTTCTGTCCTTTATCCAGTCTCAGCATCAGGGTCTTTTTGAGATTTACTGCAGGTCTTGAACAGAATGCAAGAATGAAGGTTGAGTGTGCCTTCTGGAATCTCCTATCCCAGCAGTATTAGGTGCTGTAGTAGCCTCAATAATGCTGATAGTATGATAGTAGAGGGCACAGCCAGAAAAATCTGTAACCCTATGCGAGCAGTCAAAGTCTTTAAGCAACAATTTCTGGCATCTCACCCTCATGATGTACTTCCACACCTAGAGATAAAGGTGAAAAGGCCCCCAGCTCTCCAATCGAGCTTCCAATGGCAAGTTTCCTTCAGGCCCTTACCCCATAACACCTGCTGAGGCCTAGCAGAAGTAGCTTCCCTGGAACACACACATGCTTCCTCTCAGGGGGGAAGCCCCAGGGGAAGAGATTGATCAAATCCTCCCAAATGTTTATCTTCTCAACAAGCCACACCTTCTGGGTAAGCCGCTCAGGGACTGGCTAGGGTCAGATAACTGTTCATAACCTCAGTAACTGATCCTACCACAGCCACCAGGTTTAGGGAAACCTAAATAGGCCTGAAAAATAATTGCAGCTCAGCTGAATATTGCAGAGCTATACAATAAATGTATCCAGCCCAGGGCATGGGCCCCACATCCCACCCCCAAAAAAAATTGGCCTTGTCTTCACAAACCAAGAACATCTGCAAAGAATTTGCTCTTGCTCGCAAAAGCTGGGTATCCCTCAGTACAAATAGATGGGTAGGAGTTAAACAACAGTTAAAGAATCAACAGTACATGTGATAAAAACACTATGGGGTACAAACTGCAATAGAAGTTGTCACAAGGCAAAGTCAGCAATGCAATGACTGGTTCTCTTACAATAAGACTA